TAAGTCTTGTATAAATTTTTTCGGAAAAAATATCAGTGTTCCGAACGTTGAAAGTGTGTTCACTTGTCGTGTCTCGATATGGCAAAGTTCACGTAAGAAGGAAGCCCGGGTTGTTGTAACGACCAAAATGGGGGTACAATAGTTTTCTTTTTTACTGCTCTATTTTCCGAGAGGTCCCTGGTCGTCCCTGGGTCGGGCGTTGCCCGTCTCATTTGTTGGTCTTTTTTATTTTCATCTCTCTCCTTGCTCTCGGCTCAGTTCGAAAACGAGAACAAGGTGCAAAGGATCTCGTGGCCGTCAAGCCCCCAGCTCCAGGAATAATTCTTGGAGTCTGTTAGACCTCACAAGTGGTATAGTTTCTGGGTTTGGTAGGGTCACCCACGGAAAGGGAGGCTGCAAGGCTAACCTTGGTTCGGTAGGCTATAGAGCTTGTGAGCAAGAGAGAGGAGGACGGCTATAAGGGGTGCGAGGGCGTGGCTGATGCGTGTGAGCCCGAGTTTCAGGTAGCCTCCTTATAGAGAGAGAGAGAGAGAGAGCCGATGGAGTCAATCACTCCGGTGGGGGTCTTCAGGGTATTTTGTTTGACGAGACAGCTGGAATGCTCCCTGAGTTTGAGCGATTGTGTTGCGTGCTTTTCCATCCCTGTTGCGTTAGTTAAGCGTGTTCTAATCTTTTTGCGTTTTAGTTGCGTGGGAACAAAGAAACAGATACATAGAGCCAGTAGTTCGAGCTATAATGTATAATTTACGGTGCGCATGAATATTTAGAGGCACATCGCATTTAACTGTAATGTGAAAACGAGCGAACGATAAAAAACACAAATGATACAAGGTCGATTTGCCGCACTATTTAATTCAAATGAAGGTAAAAAATCTTGAGAATTGTACTGGAATAATAAAAACTAGTTCACGCTCGTCAACTTATCAAGGATCGTTTATAAAAGTAAATCGTCAAACTTGAAAGCGATGATGATCACTGGACGCGCTTGCCGCCACCTTGAGAACGGCAGCAAATGCGAGTGAACTTTTGTGAGGCTCGATAGCAGCCAGCTTCTTACGTCTCGATCTCGCAGCAGGATTTCTTTTCCCTTTTGCCGCGCGCAATTCGTATTAGACGTGTCGCGTTGTCACGTTTTAATGCGGGAGCCGACGAGCCAAGCATAAAATGACGTCGCGTATCGACGGGCCACACGGTTTCGCGGAAGCTATTTTGCAGGCTGACCGCGGCGCGCGAGCAGCAATGAGATCTGGAGACCGCTGCCCAGCTGCCGTATATTCGATGAGCGAGTTATCGGGGCGAAGCGCGCGGAGGCCCGAATGTAATGCACACTACACGCTTGATTATTTTTGCACCCCGCCGGGGACCAGTCTCTGCTTCGCGTTCTGTTCCCAATCGTTTATTTCGCGCGACGCCTTTCGCTCCAATTCCCTTTTTCTTTGCGTGGTACTCTCGGACATGGGCCTTCGCGTCGTTCATTTCTCGTCGAATAAAAGCATCAAATCGGATCTGTTTTTCCGATTGCCGTTGAAAAATTGAGAATAGGGGCAGCGATGAATTTCCAACCGACTGCACTACCGTGTGCGTGTGTGTTTCTCTTGTCACCGTATCCATCGAGCATCTCGAGTTACAAGCGATTCCTTCCGACTGGCTAGCCGAGGAACAAACAGAGCGCAGACCCGATTCTTCCACAAAGTAAGTAACGTTTGCTTTTAAATGTTACAGACGTGAAATTGATCCGTCGATGCAGATGCACGGCAAGTCTATATCGGATGTGGGAAAGCGTAGTCTGTGTGCATTCGAACTGTTGTACAACGCGATAATTTAAGAGATTGTAAAAACGAGGCTGTTAAAAATTAAAGCTTTAAATTTTTTCTTTTAGGAATTGACATTTATTCACAATTAATTGCACTAGAACGTCTGCGGGTTACAAAGGTTGTCAAACGAAGAGAGCGGTCGGTCGCACACGCCGCCAGAAGTTTTGTACTTTTCGTTGCTGTGACGATAAACAACAGTCGCATAGTAACTCATAGTAGGCTTGTGCTGACAAGATTACGCGACAATACGCGGAAAATGAAAAAATAAATGTTTTGTTACATATTTGTTTGTTTGTTTATTTTTTTGTTCTGTCAAGTTTTATTTAACAAGATATAAAAATTGTTATTATTTATTTTATTGAGCATTATTTATTTAAATTGATTTTTCAATTATTTTCCTACTATTCTGTGAATTTGATACGTATAGTGTTTTTAAGACTTTTCCTATGACTTTTCTACAACTTTCCCGTATGTGTTCGTGTATTATATGAATTTTACCTGATCGAGATAATTTCGGACATTCACAGCAAAATGTGCTGGTGCTCCGTCATGAATGAAAATCGTGTTGTTCTACTGCTTTTGCGTCAAGTGATCGTTCAGTAAACCCGGGAGATTATTTTGAAGGAAATGTAAATAATTTTCCCCATTCAAAGGTTGCGGTAGCTCTTACGGACCAATTATTCTGTTGCCGATCAATCCTGTCCAAATATTTACGGTGAAGCGATGTTGAAAGCTAGTTGAAAGATTCCATTAACAAAATTATTTTGTTCAAGTTGGAGCAGAGAAAATTATCTCTTTTAACCTTTAGAGGACGGGGACTTGGAATTTTTAATGCTCAGTATTTTCTATAAAAAACGCACATGTGTATCAAATATCGGAGAATACTCATATATGAAGTGGTGATCGATGGTCGAGCCACTATAGTGATTTTCCCGTCCTCAGTGGTGATGTTAATTTTGAATTTGTTATCTTAGGTCAATTTACTATATTTCTTTGTTTGAATTATTTTAGTATTTTAGTTTAAGCTCGTGGTTGTGTTTAATTTAAGTTCCTCAGTTGTTTTCTTCAAACTTTAAATAAAATATAAGTCCGTTTAAACCAATCACGACTAATACATACTCTTCCTTACCTCAACAACGATTAACGAAAATGGAAGATTATACTGGACGCTTCAGAACTAAATACCATAAATTTCATGATGATATTGTCATTATAACGATTTTTATACACAAATAAAGTTAACTTTAAATTTTTCTTATACAACACTGGCTGGTCCCGTTAATGGTTTAATGGGTTATAAAGCGATATAGCTTCTCTGATCAAATTAGGATTTTCATAATTCCACATATGTTCATTATGCTAGTTAAATATTCCAAGTCATCCATAAGTGGACTCATCCGTCTATAAAATTCGATCCAAGATACCCTCAACGATTTCAATTTCACTCAATAGCCATCGACTGTAGGCTACGCGTCGTTGAGCATCGCCATCAATTTTAATTATATTTAAATGTGCGTAAACGGAGCACTAACAATATAGCATATGTATATGTGTCTGTGCGTGTGCGTATGAGCGTGCATGTGTTTGGTGAATGTGAGTGCAAATGCGCACGTGTGAAAGTGCGATAATTCAATAAGAGCATCATGTTGTGTTCATTTATTTTCTTCAATTTACCATAGTAATTTGATTTCTTCAATAAAATATAGCAAAAGAAATAATATTTTTAAATATTTAATTATATCAATATTATGGATCCTTATAAATTATTTAATTTAAAAAATAAATATATTTATTTAAGATTTGAATAATTTAATTAAAAATATTGATTTGTGGGATCAAAATGATATGAATTTATATTTTAAATAATTAGCATCAAAATTTACCAAGTTCCTGAACGCGTTTATAATGATAAGGATGTTGTCCGTCGTCTTTCATGATCTGCTGTGCCGAACTGTACGAGCATCTCATGTCAAAATTGTCCCGCATTTCACGGGCAACGTTGCGCAAGCTGTTGGTTGGGTCTTGGTCAAAAGCTTCGACTACCGGATCGTGAAGTGCATCGCGTAGCTCTCTTGCACGTCCACCGTCAGGATTTCGCACGGTCATCCTGTTTGTCTCGCGTAACCTCCGTTCCGTCGCCGCAATAGTTTTAGGTGTGGGCATATTCTCTCATAGCTTTTGAGTGTAATTTTGGTGTTCTTTAATTTCATCATGTTGGATGATTCCTAGCAGAAATAAATGTTACTTCAACGATTAAGATGCTCAAAACAGACAGACTCTTCTGTCATAGTGAAAAAAATTACATCAATCATGCAATGGAGAAAAGTGTTTTTTCTTCTAATAAAAAAAAACGACGAAATCAAGTCAAAATTTTTTTTTCCATGGTTATTTTCATAATGACAATGATACATCTTCCGATCAAAAACATACAAACTTTCATACCACTACATATGTTGATTAATAATTTTAAGATAGTTTCACAAAAATACATAAATTTCACATGAGATATCCTTAGGAGATTTATCCATTCGTTAAATTAAATCATAATAGTATCGTATATCAATGGAAAATATTGAGCTTTGACCATCTGCCCGGTCTATCATTTCATGTGGATGAACAAATTATTATTAAAATGTGGCGAACATTAAATAAAGGAATAAAATGGAGTCAAAATATTATTTACATCAGTATTTAAGAATAAATTGAAATCCCTATGCATTCTAAGAGCAATATCAACAACGTTGTCCGGATAATATGGCAGGACGGTTGCAGATAGAATTACGAGTATATATTTCTGTACATCAGTGTTTTAATGCCATTGGATGAAAAAGTAATCATACAGTCGAATCAACTGGAAACATCATCTTATTACTGTCGTTTACTTATGCGTTTATTCATTTGTATTATTACATTTAATTGCTCTCTGTAGTCTAAGTAAACATAAATGTTAATAAATATATTCCAATATATAGATAGATTTACAGGTATAACTGACTATACAAATTCATCAACGAAATAAACAATATTTTCATTTTTAGTAGGCTTACAACGCATTTTGTAGTTGAAACTCATATCATTGATCGGATGTATACATCGAAATCTTGTTTAGCGGGTCGTATATATTTAAACTTCTTAAGCCCTATTATAATTCGAAATCGTACATCTTACAGTTATGCTGCGGCTCTACCTGCCAAATCTACCTCATTCTCGTTCCATTTGCGTGGCAATGCTGTCGTGTGTCAAGCATTAACTTAGTTAATAATTTACTATCATTTTTAAATGAGAAAAAAATACTTCAATCCTAGCGATATAGGATTTGCCAAGATTCTTCTAGCTAAAAGTATCTAAAACGATTTGTGAAATTCATGTCGCGCTAATAACATCACATTCTAATTTTATATAACTTTTCCATTTAGGATTAAAATTATTATCTCAAATTAATCCGTTATAATAGTTCATTCTGTATATGCAAAGCGAAATTATGACGCAACCTACGTTTAGCTGTTATGAGTGTGACAAAGATGGGTGCGAAGTACCAGACATACAAATGTCAATTTGCAATACTACAATTAATGTAAGTAGAAGCTCTCAATCCTTTGATTCACTAATATTTGTATCTGAAATTTGCAAATACATAACAAATGTTTCGAAATTTCAGTGCTGGAAGTCTTTGCTACGAGAATATAAAAACAATACGCTATATTCTCGTGGATGCGTTGCTACGCTGGAAGATAACCAACGTATTTGTAGTAACGTAACGCAAGCAAATGATACCGAAAGCGTTTACAGTTGTTGTGCAGAAGAATTCTGCAACACCGAAAATCTTCCTGTAATGGAACCATGTAAACATTGATTTTTTCATTTTTTAAAACTAATACTATACTATAGCTGATAATAATTGAATAACTGTTATTTGATCAGTGTTCGATGAAGTGATAGCTGCCACGGGGAACATTTGGGTATTTTATGCATTTACAACAATAGTCCTTATATTGTGGTTATGCATCATCGCCGGTCTTATAAGAATATGCATTTTGAGTCACCGCCACAGGAATATACGCAGGCAGCGAAGAGCTGTAGAAGTGATAGCGATGGGAGATATGCCGCTAATGAACGGTCGCGCCCATGTCATCCCTTAGAGGGAGCTTGATATTGTCATTTCGCTATCGCTGCGAACTGTCAACGACAGAATAGCTCAGCTAACATAATTTACATTAGTAACGTTCGTTCGTCGACTGAAAACACCTTATTTTCATTTATGATTAATTTTCGATAAGATTCTTTCCAGGAATTCCAGAACGATGAAAGTTTGGCGAGCAGTTCGGGATCAGGTAATCCCGTACTGAAACAAGGTATTTCTGACGAAGCATGTATCATTCATTATTCATTAATTTTATCAATTCAATAAATTAATAATGTACTTTCAGCTTTGACGATAACATTTAGTATTTATAGACTTATTGACAAGCTGAAATCTGCAGCTTGAACTTCTTATTCTGGAAAATATGTCGCATGTGCTTTGAAGACGTTGATTCAAAATATAACATCTTCTAAGCGGCTCGCAATTGACGAACGAGGATAATTGATTGCCTATAATCGCCGGTCTGGAATTCCCGATCATTGGCACACGGATCCGATATGTTGGAAAAGACAATCTTATTGTAGCATTCCAATTTCCAACTTTTGACTTTTCAGAAAATGAATTCATTGGGGTTTCTAATTTAAGTCCCTCGGCAAACGAACACTTCAGTGCACTAGCCGATCCAACAAGTTAAGAAGACGCTTTTGATACTTTCACAGAATTAATCATTTACTTTGATTTAATGATGATTTCATTCGAAAAACATTTTTACGAAAATTATTTTTGACTTGAAACGATTTTTGTATAAGATTAACAATGAATGTTTTTTCGATTAACTGGTATGTTACAACATATCTACAATTTAAATGTTGTAAAACCGAAGTACATATTCCAATTTATTATTTGAACTATCATTGTCGTCTAAATAATGTAGAATATTTTGTAGAAATCTGGAAATAATAAAGCTTTTATTGTTAAATATAAGAATCTAACTCGTAGATTCATTCACTAATTATCAAAATCTCATTAATTACACATTGCGACTTGTATAAATCTTTGCGTTAGGTGATCTATTTTATAATTCATTTCGATAAGGGTTTGATTACCTATAATTGTAAATTAACGTTAATTTCAATATTAATTTTTTGAATTTAAAGTGATTATAATTATATAATTATATAAATTTTGAACTTTACCAAATTTTATTTGTTATTTTCTTTTTTTAATTTAGTTTGCAAAGCGCGAATTTAGTCACGATGTTTCTTAAACACGTTTTCAACTATATTACCTAAATTACCGTTGTTACGCGTCGCAATAAGTAATTTATACCTTGAAGGAAATTTATGTCAATATATATCTCAGTTCATTTGATCCATCTTTTGATTTTCGCTTCAATCTGAATGATTCAGTTTGATTCATAGTTTAACACGAACAAATAAATTATCGTTAAAACTTGCCGATCTTCAAAAATAGGCATAAAACATATTCAAAATATTAATTTTATCATTGTTTAAAAATAAGCTGAAATCTTCGTATATTTATAAATTGATATCAACGACATGGTCTAGATAATTTTTTGAACGGTTGCAGATGAGATTATAAATTTTGTCGTGCTATACTGGATGGGAAAATAATTCTGTTCTGCTGGTAACATCATCCTTGCATGATAGCAAAAAAAGTTTTAAGATTATCGATGCAGTGGACGACAATCTATTGTAAACAAACGACCAATTTTATTTATCCAATTGATTATATCACATAAAATAGAAAATTACTGTTTGAATCGATGTTTGAAAGCTTGATCGCAAGTTTTCAATTATGTATTATGTAAATGTCAAATGCTTAGTAATTTAAGATAATAATTCTTGTTTACTAGATCAAGAATATTCTACCTCTTATTTTCGATGAAATTCCTGAGTAATACCAGCTTTTAATTGCACAATGAATCTGTAATAATGAAAATGATTAGTTTATAGAAGCGCAAATAGAATTAATAATGTAGAGGATTTCTGTATTCAAAAAATCCTTTTTGCCGCGATAATAATATAGCTTACAACTTTGTATAAAATTATCATGAAAAATAAAACGCGGAATTGAACCATTACATTTTGAATAGAATGACCACCAACATTCAAATGTTAAAGATCTAATTTGTATTGAAAAAACTTAAACGTATATAAATGTAAAAAGCATAAGTAAACATGTCGAATCTATCTTGTTCAGCGCATCAGTGAACATAGAGGCAGAAATCGAATGACTTGACTTATACTATATGACAATTTGACTACAGAGCCCATCGCGCAAAGACATGCTAATTAAGTATGTAATAGGGATCACGAGTCCTTAACCCCAATATTATCTGCGATCACCTGTACAGAATATACTATTTAATCTTTCAACATTGCATACTTTCATTAGTCAGTAAAGGAGATGAGCCTTTACAAAATATCTAATGTATGATAAGCTTAACAGAAATTAACGATACAAGAGCATTTTTTATTCTAACACATGATCTAGCACTTCAACTTTCTTATTTTTGCACATAACTGTTATAAACATGATAGTCTGACACGTGTGACTTGTTTGTAATAGTGGGATAACCTCAGCTAACATAAAATAAAATGCTGCCTAACAAAATTCTCCAGCGGCGTTATTTTCTCTACCAAAATACTCTCTCTAGCAATAACATTATACATTAAATAATATTTGGTTGACCGGCGACCGATCTAGATGCGGAGTATCAAAGTGACCAAACTAATTATCGTAATACTATAAAGTACCGTTGTCAATAATAACAATGATCTTATCATAGGAAAAGCCAGTCATAAGACGAGAAATCTCATTCTGTTTGATACGAAATCAGTAGTTCTAAGTTTATTTAGTCGTTTTTACACAAAGCTAAATTCCCGTTTGGGTTAACGTGTACAACAATATAATTAACTGAGACACATTAAGTTTTTATATCTATCTTCGTGAACTCGTGCAATTATTTTGAGTATTTTTCATGACTTTTTGCTCGGATTTACTTCTATTATACATATGTGTGTGTGTGTGTGTGTGTGTGTGTGTGTGTGTGTGTGTGTGTGTGTGTGTGTGTGTGTGTGTGTGTGTGTGTGTGTGTGTGTGTGTGTGTGTGTGTGTGTGTGTGTGTGTGTGTGTGTGTGTGTGTGTGTGTGTGTGTGTGTGTGTGTGTGTGTGTGTGTGTGTGTGTGTGTGTGTGTGTGTGTGTGTGTGTGTGTGTGTGTGTGTGTGTGTGTGTGTGTGTGTGTGTGTGTGTGTGTGTGTGTGTGTGTGTGTGTGTGTGTGTGTGTGTGTGTGTGTGTGTGTGTGTGTGTGTGTGTGTGTGTGTGTGTGTGTGTGTGTGTGTGTGTGTGTGTGTGTGTGTGTGTGTGTGTGTGTGTGTGTGTGTGTGTGTGTGTGTGTGTGTGTGTGTGTGTGTGTGTGTGTGTGTGTGTGTGTGTGTGTGTGTGTGTGTGTGTGTGTGTGTGTGTGTGTGTGTGTGTGTGTGTGTGTGTGTGTGTGTGTGTGTGTGTGTGTGTGTGTGTGTGTGTGTGTGTGTGTGTGTGTGTGTGTGTGTGTGTGTGTGTGTGTGTGTGTGTGTGTGTGTGTGTGTGTGTGTGTGTGTGTGTGTGTGTGTGTGTGTGTGTGTGTGTGTGTGTGTGTGTGTGTGTGTGTGTGTGTGTGTGTGTGTGTGTGTGTGTGTGTGTGTGTGTGTGTGTGTGTGTGTGTGTGTGTGTGTGGAACCAATTATATGATTTTAGAATTGTTGTAATTATCGACATTACACATTGTTTTGATTGATATTCGGCAGTTGATATCGATTTTGTCAAGATACACAGAAACTGGTCATAATCGCTACAGACTGAATATTCAAGAGATATTTTCGAACTATGAGTTTAATTTAGGAAAAGGCTACTGCGAAAGTGGCGATGAAAAGCATTTTGTAAAATCAACTTATCAGATATCAATATTTTTCAAGCTTTAAGGCCTGTGATATTTCTCAAAAAGGAAATGAGTTCCTTGAAAATTATTTTTGATGTTGCCGTTTGAAGCACCAATATCCACGTTTTTATCAATATTATCTTATCATTGAAAACAATTCAAATTAGAGGTACATAAGGCTTTTTCTACAAGTGAAAGATAGTATAAAGTAGAAAGCCACGTAGACATAGTTGAATATTATATTTCTTATCAAGTTTTTTTCAGTTTTCATATATTTAAAAAATTAGATTTTTCGGAAGTATAACCATTAAACATTTTATAATGACCTAATAATTTCTCAAACTTTTATGAATTGCTTAATGTAGAAAGATATACAATGATAGTCACATTATGTTAAAGTAAATGTTATATTTAAGGTTTTATTTATATTAGATTTACGAAGTTTTCCTAAAATTGTATTACAGAATTTTACTTATATTTATCAGCGATATTATGCTTATTTGACCTCAGTCTTAATAATTGTATAATGAATGTTAATAAATGTATAACTAAATAACATGTATTTACAGATACGGCTGACAATACAAATTATTAAACGGGATAAACAAAATTTTCAGTAGGCTCCCAAAAGACTTTAATTCCAATCGAAACTTAAGTATATTATCCGTGAGATGTAATATATCCAAAGTTCATTTAGTGGATAGTATATAAGCTTGTTAAATCCTTCTATAATCCAGAAACATACAACTTGTAGTCAAGTTACTGTTCATTCTAACAAATCTATCTCATTCTCGTTCAATCTACGTATCAGTGCTGTCACTGGCCCGATATTAGTATAGTGAATAGTTTGTTGTAATTTTCGACTGAGATATTGACATTAGCAGTCACAGAATTTGTGAAGGTTCTTCTAGCTTAAAAGTATCTACAACACTTTGTTAAATTCATGAATATCACCGCATTAGCAATATCATGTTCTAATGTTAAATGTACTGTTTGATTTAGGATTGAAATTAGAATCTCTCTGTGTACGCAGAAGAAAAATCACGATGCAAAATACGTATCATTATTGTTATCTGTGTGAAGGTGATTCGTGCACGAAACCACTAACGCATTTGCCATATTGCAATACTACATTTAATGTAAGTAAAAGTTCTCAATCAACTCATATCTCAAATCACTTATATCTCGAATTTGAAAACTTACAACAAATTCTTGCGAAATTACAGTGCTTCAAATCAGCCATAAAGAAAATTGAGGACACAGTTAATTTTTCGCGCGGATGCATCACTTCATTACAAGTAAACGACCAAATTTGTGGTAACGCAACACATCTGAATGATGATTATGAATGCTGTCTAGGAGATTTTTGTAACGACGCCCACTTTGCTAATCAAAATGAGCCTGGTAAGCATCGATTACATTCATTAAAAATTGCTTACTATGCCATAACTGATAATAATTGAATTATTTTTATTTGATCAACGATAGCTGGAGTGAATTATTTCGGTTTGCTGTATATACTAACTTATTTCGTGTTAATATCAGCCGTAGTAGCTTTTGCAGTAGTTATCTCAACTCTTATTAAAGTTTATCAATTTGAGAAATTGCTGACTACACCAAAGGAGCATATTGAAATACAAGAGATCGATTCAGACAACCGTGCAGCCGGCAGAAGCAGCGAATAATTACATTAACCTTTCCGAAATCACTCCAGTCATCAACAGCATATCATTCAGCAACTCAATTTCACAAGGTAGTAATAAGGTCCTTTATATTAATCATGTTATGGTTCCTTTATCAATTGAAAACCCTTTATTTTCATTTATAATTAATTTTCAATGAGATTCTTTGCAGAAATGCCACAACAATCAAAATTTAGCTAGCGGTTCGGGATCAGGTAATCCCGTACTGAAAAAAGGTACTTCTGACAAAGCATGTATCATTCATTATTCATCAATTTTATCAGTTCGATGAATTAAATATATACTTTCAGCTTTGACGATAATACATGGTAGTACACACTTATTGACAAGCTGAAATATACAGCTTGAACATCATATTCTGGAAAATATGTCACATGTGCTTTGAAGACGTCGATTCCAAATATAACTCCATATTTTAAGTGGTTTGCTATTGACGAACGAGGGCCGACAACCGAGGAGACAGCTAATTGATTGCTTATAATCGTGGAACTGGAATTCCCGATTATTGGCACACGAATCCGATATGTTAGAAAAGACAATCTTATTGAAGCATTCCAATTTTTAACTCGGATGACGTTTGACTTTTCAGATAACAAATTCATTGGAATTTCTAATTCCAACTCCTTGGCAAGCGAACGCATTAATGCGACGCTCGATTCGACAAGTTACTAAGACGTTTTGATACCTTCAAAGAATTATTTCTTTACTTTAACTTAATGATGATTTCGTTCGAAAAACTTTCTTACAAAAATTATTTTGGCTTTTTAAAAGACGCATTTCTTTTACTATTAATATATTTTCGATTAACTGGTATGTTACATATACCTACAATTTGAATAGTAAAGCTAAAATGCACATTATAACTTATTATTTAAACTATCATTGTCGTCTGAATGATATGCTGTAGAAATCTGGAAACAATAAAGTTTTTATTGTTAAATGTGAGAATCTAATTCGTAGGTACATTCACTAATTATCATAATCTCATTGATTACACGTTGTGACTTGCATAAATCTTTACGTTAAATGATCTATTTTTAAATTTATTTCAATAAGGTTGAGATTACTCACAATTTTGAGTTAATATTGAATACAATATTAATTTATGTAAATTCAAAGTGATTATTATTATGTAATCAAGTAGATTATGAATTTTATGAATGTTCACTTGTTAGTTTTTTCCTAATCTAGTTTGTTTAGCGCAAATTCAATCTCGAATGATTTTTAAACACGTTTTCAACTATATTATAAGTAATTTGTACCTTCAAGGAAATTGACGTCAATATATATCCATTCAGTTCATTTGATCAGTCGTTGATTTCCGTCAAAAATAAAGTCGGGTATTATCAGCAAAAACAAGACGAATGTATAGTCAAGATCAAGAGCGGCACTAGTAAGTCGTATATGTTACGCTGAAACAGCAGCAGCGCGCCATACTATTCGACAAGCAACTCCATCCTCTGGCATGAATTTGCCGCTATAATATTATAGTTGATCGATAACAAATAACAACTTCAATGTGAATGATTCGGTTTGGTTTATAAGTTGGTGTCCCGAAAATTGAATAAGAAATAAAACATATTTAAAATATTACTTATATCAGTGTTTGAGAAAAAACCAAAATCCTTGTACATTCGTAAAACGATATTAACGATATTGGATAATTTAGGTGAACGGTTGCAGATGGAATTATAAATTTCCATGTATAAGTTTTGTCCCTTTCAACAAACGTAATTTAATTTTAGAAAGAATTACTAATGAACGCAAACCACACTTTTATTTTATTTAAAACGATTAGAAATTCCACGATGTTTCCAACCACTGTTTACAAGTGAAAAGGGCCTGGCGGTGAATCGCCTCGAATTTTAAAATAGTTTGATTCCATTACGAAAACATCCAGTTCCATAGCAACATTCACATATTATTTATAATTTTTGCTTCGTCTCCGCGGAAACAAACGTTGATTGATTAAACAACTGATTTATTTATTTTAATGGATCTTTTCTTTACATAATATAATTATGAATTAGCAATAACATGATTTGTAATATCCTTCGTACCTATGAAATTACCTTAATTTTATACTTAAACATATACTAAACATGACTGTATCAATGAATTAGAAGTATTCAATTGTTTCGCCTTCTCGTTTTATCAAACTTTCCGCAAGAATCTAATTTAAAACTACAGTAATTTTATGTCTTTTACCAATCGAATGGTGAAAAGCCTACCACGGATGAATTTCAGTAGGCTTTAAGTTTTGTGTTAAGAATGTGTATTAAAATGGTGTAAAGATATTTTTATTGTTATTTATAGCTGAAGAGAAGCGTATAAAAAACGCTCGAATCGTCCAAATAAAATGGATAATAATGACTACTCGTGGGGAGTTATAATAATTTTTGACAAGATTAATATTTCCTTGAACGAGTTATAGATTTCATAAGACAAAGTATTTATATATTATCAAACAGAGAGGACAATCATGCAGTTCGAGAACTACGACTTTGCCGCATGCTCATCGAAGAAAATACATGCCCTCAAATTCGTGCTTTACACACATTGTCTTAAAGACCACCGTACGTAATGTGTTCGCCTTATGTGCCTTTTCACCTCGCTTCGCTTGGATAAACCACACGCGAATCTACTTTCCCACACTAGTTAGATAATACACTATATTACGTGTTCAAGTCAGCATTCCGGTTTCTGTTCCAAATTTAATTACTCTAATTCTTTTATTTAACTCTAGTAATATTCAAATTATTAGACTTTTTATCCAACAATTTTTAGGAATATTACCTTTTGCAATTATTACCAGATCTATCTCTTTCAAATATGATTGATCCTCTTACCATTTTTTACGTATCTAACATTGAACAGTACTCACGTAGCCATCGAGTTCAAAATCTATTCGCATACGTTTGCGCTAATGTTCTTTTTTTTAACTCTAAACTAATAAACGTATAATAAGATGAATTAATTTATTCAGAAGTCGAGTTAATAAGTGCAATTTGCATTGAGAGCCTTAAGGTCAGTAGAAATTATTAAAATAGCCTGTACGTATGACTATTACAGAGGTAAAAGGGAAACATATATTTAGGAGTTAAGGAAAAAAAGAGGATAAAAGTACATTTGTCTAAAATGTATAAGTTGGCAATCAGGGAGAGCGACAGTAGCGCCACCATTATATGTTTTTTCTTACATATGGCATGCATGCTAGCTGCGAGTTGAGTCGAGCCTATGATTTCGTGTCGGTCGGAGCACTGCCGGTCCTCTCTACGATTGAGTACAAAGAGTGGTCTCTATATATATATATGTAAATACATATATCTTTTCTCTGTCATCCATAAGTGTATTCCACCAACCTCACAATCAATAAAGTTCTTACATTAACCGCATCCGTCTGCCATTTCCTTGGTTCTATCTTTTTGCGAAGGTAAACCAAATAACCGATTATTCTTAAAAGAAATAAGCATTAATGGCTTTGAATTCACACAATTTAGTCGATTTCCGTAAAACGAGTTCTCCACATTTCTTTACGAGGTATTCACGAATGTGGCCAATAATGCACTTTGCATTTATTGTTAACCTTTACTAGGCTCTCCCATGTCCTAAACTCCAGGTGAATTGAATTTTTATTTTTGTATATTTTTCACTGCTGCGAATTTAATAATTTTTTAATTGTCCATTGATTTCATGGTTTCTGACAGTTCATGATTTGCAAGCGTCAATTTTTTCGCGCCATAAGATTGGTTCGATTATCTTAGTAAATAATTGAGGGGGTGCCAATCAAAATTGATGTTCTACGAATCGCATATTCCCATCGTTTTTCTACTTTTTTTCCAACTGCCACTAAGATCCGTCTAAAATAATCATGACTGCAATAAGTAAATGGTCTTAGTTCATAACCTAATCTTACTTTAGATAATACAGCCATTCAAGGTTTATAAGCCGTTTAATTTAAATTGTGACAATAAAGCTGAGAGACCAAATTTTCAAATCCCTCTTGAGTGAAGGTATTATATAGTTAAGCGGTAATAATTAGCTACCAAATATAAGGTAGTTAGTTGGAAATGGACAACTCAGCAAAAGACTAAACAGATGACGATAACGATATACACTTCAAATATCGTCTAAATACTAGAATGAAAATTAAAGTTTGCTTAATATGTGAATAAATATATGACATATTGGACCTTAAGAAATCAAAGACTATAGTAACATTGAGTGTGTTTAGACTATATAGCCAGAATAATAAAAGCGAAGATATATTCTAATGTAGGGGTGTGTTAGGTAAATAAGTGAACCGAGGAAAAACTTAACCGGATTTTTAATGAATAATTTAAAATATAATCGCAAATAGCCGGCATAAAAGACTGCAGATCTGAGAAAGAAATAAAATCATTTCACAATGATGATTTCACAAACAAATAAGGGTAAAATATTACAGCTGTGACGGTGGCATTTATTCCAATAGTTGTCCTCAGCTATCACAAGTTGGCAGCACTCAACAGCAGACGCTGGTCAGTGATGAGAATCCGTTGAGGCTACAAAAAATTTCATTTTCATGAAGTTGTATCTCATCTATATCGTTTATACAACTATGCCCAAGGTATACAGTCTCCATGGTCGGCAGTCAGCCATTGTATTTCTCGTTCCGGTTCCAATGTTTGTTTATATTTTCAAAATTCGTTCGGCTTTCTAAGTCACGTTTGGCATTTCAAATAGTAATAGGTACGTAATTTTTATAGTGCGACTGAAAAATCGTTATTAGAGGAACTAGCAAGTTTTTATATTTTCGCCTACTTCCCCACCTACATTATTATTATTGTTGAGAACGTTTTGTCGTATATTATGAATCCTATTCCTGACTCTCGCGATCATGTCAGCGTCAGGTATAAATGTTTCTACTTTTTTATTACAATTTCTTAACGCGAGTATTTCTTTAATCATTAAAACTGAACGCGTCGAAGCCAAACTTAATTTATTTCTCCATTTGTTTCTTATGTACTTGTCTTTGGACCAAATACGTTCTGGTTGTGCGTTACTGTGAGGAGTACACTGAGCGCAAAATCAGCTAGTTCTGTATATGGGCAAAACCCAAGTTCTTCCTGAATGTTATATGAATGGCGCTGAATTCAAATTTGGCCACAGAATTGATCTAGCACGTCAGGTTTTTGAGATATCCTAACCTAAAAGTCCAAAAATCGGCGTTTTAGTCTATATTTAAGGTTACGTAGCATCGCCATATTCTTTGTTCACAAAAAACTACAGACGGTATCTTAAAGAAGAAGTCTTGCCCTTTCAAATGCCGTTGAGTTTACTCAAATAGCTAATTTTTTCTTTGAGATACTTAATTTTCAACTGTACCATTTCCATGAATTCTCTTCCTCTTAAAATCTATAGGATTCTTAATATTTCGTTGTCGAACTTTGATACTTATGTCGTCTTTTTAGTTTCAACTTATTTTTCAAGTGTCCTTTACAACAATACAATTGTTGCGGCCGAAAACTAGTAGATATCAAGTTTCGTCATCCGAAAATATCCACCCCTGTGTATCTTGAAAGGGGTGAAAAAGGGGTGAAAAACGATCTAAAAGTATTTTCATTTGTAAGTTTCCACGTATTTTAGTACAGTTTCTTTTAACTCTTAACTTGTACACCTCATTTTGACCACGTAACTGCTCGGTGGGATAAATCTACCCCAGCCCGAAAAATATCGAATAAATCAGAGAATTTTAGATATTTTGCTATGAAAATTTTTTCTAGTATATTTCAAACCTTTTACTACAAAAAAAATATTCAGGTTAACAGTTTTTAATGTTACACACACTGAAAAAAATTGTTGAAAAAAAAAAAAAATTTTAGTTATTGTTAAAAATTGTCTGGGGTAAATTACCCCACATAGCAGTTAAGAGGTAAGTAAGTTCATGAAGATAAGAAAATAATGTAAGCCA